CCAGCTCCACGTCTGCTCAGGAAACAGAGCTTGGAGGATGAGTTTGTTTTGAGATCTTGCTGAGCGCCCAGTTCTCTGCCAGGCTATGGGGATCCGAGAGAAGAAGGTACTCACTGTTCCCAGTATCCCGTTTAGGGACAGAGCTCATGCAAGACAGTTGGCCAGCAAGACTGGATTTATTTGGGTTAGGAGGACTGGAACAGGCCTCCAGCGTGTGTGGGTTTCTCACGAGAACAGATGCTTGGCGGCTGGGCAGTGAGCGGTGGTGTGGGGAGAGGACCGAGGGCATCACAGGGGCCCAGGCCATAAGCGGGGACAGCTCTGTGTACAGCGCTGCTGCATGGTCCTCCTGTGTGGTCTGAGCCGGGCCCTGAATGCTGACTGAAGCCATTGGATAATGGTCTGGGAACAGTGGCAGCAATGAAAAATTTTTTTTTTTTTTTTTTTTTTTTTCAGAAATGTGAGAAAAACTAACTTTACACCTAATCTGAAGATGACAGTGTTTTCTGCAAGTTACTAATACGGTCACTGTTGGGAGATCCTGAGTTATCCAAGAAGATACATGGGCGTGGGATGGAGCTGGGAGAGGCAGGCTGCAGTTCGGCTGGGTGCTGGGACCTCTGCCAGCGGAGAGGAAATGTCCTGGAAATGCTGTGACAGAAGGGTGGGAACACTCCACACCCAGGGCCACACCCTGCTTTTTTACTTCTGTGTCGGGAGCCACAAGGGGCAGGCCCTGGGGTTGTTGGCCTTGTTGACATGTGAAGTCAACATGTCATTTTAGTCAGATGTTACTGACGCTGATGCCCCAGCCTTCTTTCAGTATCTTTCCCAGAAAACGTTTCTTGCCAAGAAATGTGTTCGCCGCGTGTTCATCCATTGAGGGCCTACTCTGAAGAAATAGAAGGACTCTGGGTATTCTGAGTCGAGAGAGATTGCATCTGGTTGAGGGGACCAGGAATAGCTGCCCATAGCAAGTGGGCTTGGGCAGGATCTAGAAGGACAGGACAAGTTCCCCAGGCAGAAGTGGGGCAGGAAGAGCTCGCTAGGTGGATGGCACAGGGGGCATAAAGGCACAGAGGACAGTCTGAATTGCTGGTGTCCAGGGTCTTTGTGCCAGGGTGTTGGGAGACGAGGCTGGGAGGGCAGGGTGGTGGGAAGCCTGGTGTGCCAAGTCTCTAGCACTGGGGAGCCACGTTCTGCTCCCAGATCACCGCCCTGCCTGCTTCATCCTGTGTCACCCACACCTCTCGTCCCTGCTGCACGAGATGTTCTCTGCCACCTGAGCGCCATGCTCCTAAAACATTTCTCCCTGTGCTTCTCTCATACTGTCTCTTCCCGCCAGGAAAGTTTTCCTCTCTTTGCCTCCCGGAGAATTTCTCCTCATTCTTCGAGATCGAGCTGCAATGCTAGCTCCTCCTTGCAGCCTCCCCTGATTGCCACGATCTGCGTGAATTACCCCTTCCTCCGGATCCCAACACTGGGGAGCTGGGGTTGCTGTTGCCACCCACTGAGAGCTAGTTTTGGGGGTAGGGAGTGGTGAAGATCTAAGACCTGCTTCTGCCACACACTGCCTGGGTAACCACTTCGATTTCCTCATCTGTAAAAGGGGAAAAATATTGCAATGAGTTTTGAGTAGCAATAAATGGAAGATATCAAATGACGTATGTAATGCCTGCTACAGAGCCTGGCCTGGAGCAGCTGCTCAGACAAGGTTGGGCTCCTTCCTGCTGCCTGACTGCATTCTGCCTCTATCACTGTCAGCCATTTACAGGTCAGTCTCCACAGCTTGGCTCTGAGACCCGCAGTAGATCCCACGTTTCTGGGACCCTTCTCATCTTGCACAATAAGTGGCAACCTGCTTCAGCAGAATTCCTTTACCATGTAGAAGGGGCAAGGCTGTTCGGGGCAACTTGTAGATGTGGGAATCAAGTTTGTTTGTTTGTTTTTCTCATGAATGTTCTGACTGAGCCAGAAACTTTCTGAAGTCATACAATTCTCCTATCCCCAGAGAAGGATTTGAATAAAGTATCCTCTTGCTGGAAGGAAAATTAGAGATAATTAGCCCAGTGGTTTTCAAAATTTGTAAAGGACTGGAACCATTTTTTTCAAATGAAATTTTATATGGAAGCTTAAGCTACACAGGCAGGCAAAGCATTATTTATGAATATATTGATAAATCACATTGGCAGATGTTATTATATAATTTTCAGCTTATAAAAAATAAAGTAAGTCACCTATACAAATGTATTTATCATTTCAAGCTTATGGCAAATAAAAAAGCACAATGAGATTATTTCTGATTGACATAAAAATTAGAAATTAGGCATTAGGATCTTTAATTCAGTTTCAGAATGCAATTCATTTTCGTATTTTGATGCATTTGCACAGCTTGGAGAAAACCTTAATTCACAGTGATGTGTACATCTGAGTGATTACTGTTTTATAGCAGTTTGCCCCATAGTCTCAATGCTCTTCAGTTAACTGGACAAATGGCAGGAGGTACTCTGTTTTGAGATGTCCACAGAAAAAGCTAACCTGATCACCTAAGTTGTCAGTCTCCACGGTGTTAAAAATGGCTAGCCCATCTATCTTACTTTTAAGATTACACTTTCATCATGGCTAAAAATATTTTTTAAATATAAAATTTTTAAATAAAACATTTCTGAAACCTGTAAAGTAACTTCTTTGGTCTCTGGGGCCCAGAGTACGTGACAGGAAATCACTGACTGAGTGAGTTCACTGAGGCTCGGATGTGACAAGGACATGTCAAGGCCACACAGAGACTCGGTGGTGGGCTGAGGTGAGAACTTCGGCCTCCTGCATCCCACCCCAGAGCTCTTTCAACTATATCTTCTATCTCTCTTTTCTAATTTGTATTCGTAAAAAAGTATTTTTTGTTGTTACTTGTTTTTTAGTAAGTCAGATGCCCCAACTCTATAGTTGGATCTGCATTCAAGGCCTTCTTAGATCCTAGCAGTGAGCGCGAAGCAGGCTGTTCCCTGGAATTACTGGGACAGCCCGGACGTCTTCCGTGTCTTCCCATCTCACCAAGAGTGTTCTGCCCTGGTGCTAGCTCACTGAAGTGGACTTGGTCAGCCGGGCCTACATAGCAATGATGATTTCGTGTTTGTTCATCTGTCAGAAAAGTAAAAAGCAAAGCTGGTAATTTGTGCTGACTAAGCTCTTTCATTATAAGAGCTCAAGGGAGAGGGTGGGGAACGAAGCGTTTCTTCGTACAGCTGTCCCGGATCCTGAGGATGATTGGTGTAGTTAAGGAGAAATTCTAATAATGTGGAGCGTATGGAAAAGTTTAAGGCAAAGATGATGGGTCATTTTCCAAGTGTTCGAGCTGGATATCAAGGGCTGTGCAGCTTCCTTTCCCAACGCCTGCGTTTCCTGGCTGGGCTGATCTCACGTGGTGGCCTCCGTGAATTCCCCGCTCACGGATGGCACCTCCCCAGTAAGCCATAATGAGGTAGTGAGTGTCACAGAGGGACCCCAAATTTCCCGCTCCTCACTCAGGAAAGCAAGAAAAAGCCTTGTTCTGGAGTGTGTTGGATGTTCACGCGCAGCTGCTACAGCCGCTTCTTCAACCCCTCACTCCTGGCCCCAGGTTCTGATTGGCAGGTGCTCGGCACCCAGTTCCAGGCAGCATTTTAAGGTGGACCTCTCTTGTCTTAAGGCAGCTCTTTCTGGGGTTGTTTGCACCCGCAGACTAACGGTCTCCATCGGACCCCTCCATCCCCAGGCACTTTTTCTTCCACTTGCACATCCCAGGGGGCTCGAAACAGGTCCCCGGGGAGAGCTCCTCTCCCGCCTTAGCTGGATTTAAGGTTGGGGCCACTGATGTCCCAGAAGAGAGAGCTAAAGGTCTGATTGTCATGATGGGGTAAGTGGCTGGCATTGCCTCTTTCCTGAGAGCCGAAATTTCTGCAGAATGCAGAAAGCACAAAGGCCCTGAGAGGCCAAAATTGCATGACAGGATCACTGAGAAGAGAGAGGAAATAACAAAGGGAAGTTTGAGGTATTCAGACGGAAGTTTGAGGTATTCCTACTTTGCCCCAGGAAAAAGCAGGTGAAGAAATTGCTCGGTGCAGTGGAGCATTTTGAGGTGAGGCTGTTTTCTGCTTCCTGGGACAAGGATCAGATTGTCCTTAACTAATAAGGGTGACATTAATTCTTCAGCTTTCCGCAGGTATCTTCTCTTTGTAAAATGTCTTTGAACTGAGCCCCCTTAGCAAATTTCAAACAGGATCTGAGTCACAAATGCAGAAAGCAGTTTACCCCACACCTCCCAGAACACATCTGTTATGCAAAGCAAAATTCTCATTGGGACTCAAGAGTAATTGAAAGAAAATAACATTTTTTTCCTTGTTAGAGGATAAGGTGTTTCTTCCATATAAATAATCTTTGCTAATCTGAATAATGTTTCGTTTGTCTCATAGATGCAGGGACCTGTAGGGTGAGAGAAATGTCAATTTATTTGTCTTTACGGGTACCCAATGTGACCTTGAGTTTCAGCTGGTTCAGTATGGCTAAAAATACAACTTGGGGTGACATACTATAATTGAACTTAAAGGAAAGTGTCATCTTTTGAGACCAACATGTGCATAGCTTCTGCTGTTTACAGCTGTGGATGATAAGCCCATCCCCTCCCCCTACCCCCAATTTCCTTGACTAATTATGAACATCTCTGTGTGGCCGAGTCTCTCAGGCATTTGTAGACGAGGGAAAGCTGAATGCCTCTTCCTTTTATTGGATTCAAATCCTCTTTCTGGGGAGGTTGTACATGAAGAGTTAAAGACAAGCCTGACAAAATAAACAGGGATCACAGTGTTTGCCAATGAGTCTTAAAAAAAAAGAATTGCTCTCTTTCTTGGAGCCTTGGTTGACCTTCATGTGTGAGGGAGTGGAAATGTCCCCAGGAAATCTCAGAAACCTCAGAGGAAGCTCTTGACAAGCTTCCAGCAAATTGGGTTTTTGTTTATGTTTTGTAGGCGGAGAGTAACAGATGGACTTCGAATAAACCTCAGGCAGAAGAGTATAATCTTCAAAAGGTAAGTTTCTTATATTTGTTTTTTCACTGGTGGCATTACAAGCCCATGCTGCAGTGTTTCTGGGCACCAAGGTAGGGTCCTAGTTTGACGGTCATTTTTAATAAATTGCGAAGAGCAGCAGACTGGGGTCAGGAGCCCCGCTTGTCTGGGCAGGTCACCTGTCAAGTCTGGCAGGGCCCTGTAAGTCACCTGCCCTATCAAATCACCTGTCCTGTCATCCATGGTTTTCTCCTTCATAAATAAGGGTAACAAAGAAGCCCTATCTACACCTCTGAGCTGTCGTGAAAACTGGATGGGACACTGGAGATGCGAAACACTTTGTAAGTGAATCCGAGGCTTTAGTGACGCAGCTGCAGGACCGCAGCGGGACTAGACCAGAGAAGACAGGCTGGAGAGGACTGTGGGAACACAGGGCTCCACTGAGGAAGCAAAAGTGAGTGGAGGAACCATTGGGTCGACACCAGAGGCAAAGGCATTCTCTGTGCCTCCAGACGTGTGCTGTCTGTGCTTGGAGGTCCATTCTCCCATTCTATTCTAGCCTTACAGGTCTTCTGGTCCCATAGGATCAAAGAGCAGCTGTGGAGATGGACCGAGTGTATTCATTTCCTCAGAGCTCCCTGAGCACTTGACCAGAGGGCAGTACCTCCTCCCCCAATGGGTCGGGCCCTGTGCATTGAACTAGGGGTCAGCTGAATCCTCCCCATCCCTGCAGTCCTTGCTGCCCAGTTCCTCCTGTGGTGCTGGGGCGGTGGATGCTGCGATGCATACAGTGGAATAGCAGGAGTGAGCTCCACCAAATGAAGCCCAAATGGCAGTAGTCCAGAAATGTGCGGCAATTTTTGAAGGTGGCTTGTGTCTTCATTGACAATTAACCTGAAATAAAATCATGAAAGCTACTGAATCCTCTGTAATCTGGGCACAGAACCCTGGGGAGCACTGGTCTTCAATGTTCAACTGGCTTGGCCATGACCAGTATCATAATCACCAGCCTCTCATGGACTACCTGAGCAGAGTCTGTGGAGCCCCTGAAACCCAAATTTGGGCTGACCTTAGGGCCATTTATATTTTTGAGGTCCTTGAAGTTGCTGGGCTGGGTATCTGGCTAGTGAAGGTGCTCAGCATCAACCCTTTTCTCTCCCTGCTACCACCCTTAGAAGAATCCAGGACTCTGGTCCAGTGATCTCCCCAACAGAGGTCAGACCTGGAGCTCTCCAAGGTGCTGACAGCTCAGGCCAACGCCCCTGGAGGGCACATTACACTGCAAATGCACCTTGAAGCCCACCTGTCACCTGGGAGACCTTCCTTTGCCTCCATTCTTGTGACCAGGAGGACTCTCTGATAGGCTAGAGTGGAAGGTGGAGCTTAGGCTTTCCAGATTGGTGTGAGAAGATTGACTAAAGGCTCTGAGTACACCCGAGAATGTAAGAACCATGAGCCCCCAAAATGTCTGGAAGAGCCTGGTTTAGGAAATACCTTGGAAGTAGCCACCCTGGAGTCAGATTTATCCACACCAGTATATTCTTATAACCTCTGAGAGGTAGAAAAATGCATTTTTAGCAAGAGTGTAAATACGAGGAAGCATCCTCTTGATTGACTGCAAGTGTGATTAGTGAAACCATTTGGGGGCTGTTTGAATAGTTAGGCCAGAGGCAAGCACTGAATTTGGGCAGTGACTTCATTGATGGGAAAATCCTAAGAGGCAACGTCAGTGGGACTCAGTGGTTATTGGATGTGCGGGCCAGGGGAGGAGAGGAATTATCCTTGACTCTCACACTGATGACTTGAAAAACTGTGTAGATGGTAACGTCATTCACCAGGAGAAGCAGCAGGGGTTTTTTTTGTTGTTGTTGTTGTTTTGTTTTGAGGAGGGAGGATGGTAAGCTCAGTTGATACATGTTGAGTGTGAGGTGGCTGTGGTACTTCCAGATGAGTTGTCCAGTAGGAGTTGGGTACATAGTTCTGGAGCTCAGCAGAGAGGTCAAGGCCAGCAGTAGTGCCCCATACCATACAGGTGTACCATTTTTTATCTTTTGTACCATATTTTTAGTGTAACTTTTCTATGTTTCAATACACAAATACTTCTCACTGTGCAACAATTGCCTGTGGTATTCAGCACAGTAATGTGCTATAGAGGCATTAGCCTAGGAGCAACAGGCTATCCCATAGAGCCCAGGTGTGCAGTAAGCTGTGCCACCTAGGTTTGTGTAAGTGCACTCTATGACGTTCTCATGGTGATGACATTGCTGAATGACACATTTATCAAAATGTATCCCTGTCTTTAAGTGATGCATGACTGTATATAGATATAGACTCTATAGACATTGATATAGATTTATATATATAGAGAGAGATTTCTTTTAAGGAATTGGCACATATGATTATGGTGCTTGGTGAGACCAAAATCTTCAGGGCTGGTCAACAGACTGGAGAAGAGTTGATGTGGCAGTCTCGAGTCCAAAGGCAATCTGGAAGCACAATTCCTTCTTTCTTGGGGTACATTAATCTTTTTTTCTCTTAAGGCCCTGCACTGATTGAATGGGGCCCACTCACATTTTGGAGGATAATTTGCTTTATTCAAAGACTACTGATTTAAATGTCATACAAAAAATACCTTCACAGCAACATCTAGACTAATGTTTCACTAAATACTTGGATACTATGGACTAGTCAAGTCGATATGTAAAGTTAACCATCACAAGATGGGATGCCCACTATGAGCCTTACCCCCAGATCTGGATGAGGGTAAATAAATAACAAATAAAGAATAACCTCACCCTTTCTAGTGGCCTTAATGGCCCAGGTGCCCCTCCTTCTCACTGTGCTCACCACACACATGCACTCAGGGTGTGGAGGAGCAGGGCTGTGGGTGCCCTTCTCAGGAATTTGTCCATATTACTATCCAATCACATTTGCTCCTTCCAACCTGATCTTTCCAGATTCTCTAAGCTGATTCTCACTTCAGTCCCCCTGTCTTCTGCCACCCCATTTTGGACACTCTTCTTTGTTCTCTACCTGGAGATTCTCCCCCATACTTGATTCTGGTGTTGGATATATTGCATCGTCTAGCAGCAGGTAATGGAAGCTTCAGCTCCCACTCTGCTCCATCCAGCCTCACAGGTATAGGAAGGTTATAAGACAAAAAAAATTCTCATTTCCATTTCAAAGTTGGAAAATGTGAGATGGAGAGGAATTAAATTACTTGTCCAAAATATCTTTCAGAGAAAATCTAGTGCTGCCAACAATGGGGTTTTCGGCATAGTCACACCATTCCCCATCTGTGTTGAAATCCTCGATGCATTTTTCAAGCTTAGTGTCCAAGACATCTCCAGCTTAATAAGAATAAGGTGCCCTGGGCTGGTTCCCAGCCAGGGTGGGAGTGAGCAGATACGCATTCCTTTGAAGCCGGTTTCAGATTCTGGAATGCTTTCCTGGAAACCACACAATCTCAGGAGAGATTCATCACCTCCTGATGCTGCCTTAGGACTAGGTCAGTACAGGGGCCCTGGACCCCTGAATGAGACAGTGTCTGCCCAGATTAGCAGCTTCCTGTGTGGTGACTGAAGGATTTACTCAGAGCTAGCCTGGGCAGATCTGGCTGAGATTCTGAGTGAGCCCCCACCTCATCTCTCACCCCATCCTCCTCTCTCCTCATCCCCATATGTACTCCCCTACAAAGCACGAGGGTGGAGATTTGGTCCTTGGGTATCAGACCCAGGGCCAGAGACACAAGCAGACATTCCCCTATCCAGGAGCTGGGGAGAGGGTTTGGCTGCCCCACTGTATAATGATGCTGAGATGTCTTAGGAAGGCAGCTGTGGGGGCATTCACGTGAGCACCAGACAAGAAGTCAGGGGCCTTGAGACCATGTTCTGATTATGCCATTCTCTTTCTGGTGACCTCAAGCAAGTCACAAAGTCAGAGAGTGGTGATGTGAGATGTAACCTAGGGGATCATCTTTCTATTTCCCTCACTTTTGAGATGAGGAAGCTCTAAGAAGTTGTAGCATTGGCTTAAGGTCTCAGGCAGAGGTGGGGTCACACCCAGAACTTGAAATAGTGTCCTGATCAATACATTTCCCGTTATTACCTCCGTTCTTCAATTTCTCTGGGCCTTGGATTTTCTCACCTGTCAAATGAAGACCAGTAACATTTGTTTCCCAGGACCATTGTAAAGATCCAATGCAATCATAGATAGAAAGAGTTCTAAAAAGGTAAAGTGTTGGGTTCTCAGGGGACTCTTGGATCGCAGGAGTGGTGCCTACTTACTTGTCCTGATCTGGGCATATTTGACTTCTTACATCCTACAGATTCCAGCAAGGATGTAGGCATGAATTCCAGGGCGAAGGAGGCCAGGGATGCTGCCCATCAGCTCATGAGTATGTCATAACTGGTGTGAAAATACTGAGACGTTTGCTGCCCTAACCTCCCCAAGTGCCCTTCTGCCACTGTGGCCCCTCCCCCTTCAGTAATTGCTGCACCTCTTCACAATCCAGAAATCAAAGGGTAAACAGCAGGAGGTCTCTGGGGACCCTTTTCCAGCCCTATTGCCAGTCATCTTCCATCCTGATCGGTCAGTGCTCCTACATACCATATCATGTATTTTGGTTATCTATTCATAGGCAGCAAACCAATCTGAAACCTAGTGGCTTCAAACAGTAAGTCCTTATTTTCTGTCAAGGTTCTGTGGGTTGACCAGGCTCAGCTAGATGGTTCTCCCTGGGAGTCTCCCCTGTGACTGTAGTCAGATGATGGTTAGGACTATTGTTATCTGAAGGCTCAGCTGGGCTGGACATCTGGCATGGCTCACTTCTGTAACTGGCAGGTAATGCTGGCCATCAGCTGGGAGTTCAGTGGGGCTGTTGACTCAAGTGGAACAGCTGTATTTGGCCTCTCCAAGTGGCTTGAGCTTCTCACAGCAGGGTGGCTGATTTCCGAGAGGGAGCATCCCCAGAACCAGCATGCCCAAGGTGGGAAGTAGAACTGGCCTAATGCTATCTTCAC